TTGTTAAAACAAAAAAAGTTATGCATTCCGTCACGTACATAAACAGTGTCGTAATTCGCCAAGTGCAAATCAGCAAATTCGTAAAATTTTTGTTTATTTTGAACAATACGGATAATCGAAAATCCGGATAATGGAGGTCCGGATAATGAAGGTTCTACTGTATTTATTTTGTTTGTACAAAATAAAAAATTATTTTTAACGATACAATAGTCTTCGTTAGGCTTAACATCGACGAAAATTTGACGCGAAGCGACACGCAACGGAGAAAAATGTCAAGATGAAATAAATTAATAAATTTTTTCGTACATAATCGGTTATCCGAAACATCGATCTACCGAACAACCCCAGTCCCCAATTGATTCGAATAATCGACGCTCTACTGTATTTATATTTCAGCATAGACTCGACTAAAGAAAAATTACATTTCCTGATACACTGTCTTAATTTGAAAATACCTTGTTACAGCATTAAGAACTAATGACATCATATCATTGTAACTTCCACTCTGCTTATTACAGTCTGCATCCCTTCAAACGTTGTTTATTTTTAAAAAATAAGTTTGTATAAGTAATGAGTTTGAGGTGGCACTGTTACGTCTTTCAAAGTCAAATAATTCTCTGAGTAAAAAGGATGAAAGGAAACGAAGAAATTATTGAAAGTACCAACGATAGGATTGATAATACACAATATAATGAAACTAATACTTTTATATAGCTATAAAAATATCCATTAACGAGTTGCTTAACTTTTAAATTTTAACAAACCATTTCACCAAGTTCGGCTCTCACACTATTAATTTAAATAATAACTGAAAGTCATCGCTAGAGACGAATCCTAGTTATCGTTCTAGGCATTCCGTGACAGTTGACAGTATCCGTATAACCCTCCGAAGAAATTGAAATGTGACCTAAAAATTGTTGATAGAGGTTCCACTTTTCTTATCTTGTAATATACAGTAGACCCCCTTATAACACTAGATAATTCTGTGTTATATGAATTCCGTGCTGTACGAGTCATTCAGATTTTACAAATACGTGTGCCGGGCTGTGAACGGCTCACGTATTTGTAAAATCTAAGTGACTCGTACAACATGGAATTCATATAACACGGAATTATCTACAGTGTTATAGGGGGATCTACTGTAATCTATATCTAAACTATATCTTGTTATATAATACCATAATGCAAATCTGTACAAGTAAATATAGTTGAGTAAACAGAAATTTTTATGAAAGAAGTGACAATACTCTTTTGTTTTCTGCTTATGCATTATTTTCTGTTAGTATGGAAAACAACCATAACAACACAAAGTGTTGAAATGCTGAATATGCGAGAATTTTTTATTTATGTCGATAATTTTGATAGATTTACGATATTTTCTTTGTTCTTTTCGAAAATATCGCGTCAAAAACAAATACAGAAAAGTATATATAATAGAAATTAATCTGATCTTAAAACTTATGCACGATATATTGATCCAAAGATGAAGTTATCGGCCATTTTCTGCTGGTAAGAAGACAAAAATTATAATTTCCTTTACTTCTTTTTTTTTCATAAATTCTAGCTAATTCTAAACAATTATGCAAGACTTATGCTGTTTTATAAAAGCAAAACTTGTCTCAAATACTGCTAAAACTTCTAATATTTTTTAAAGTTTTAGATAGTTATTGCAAATGACATAAAAAAGTCTTTAATATCTTCTTTCAGCATAACACTCCTTCTACCCCTGTGCTTCTGTAGGCCCAACGAAGCGAATCTAAAAGCTATTGCAGCGAGTAGTGACACTGGATTAATTACAGGTAATATGTTATTAATATTAATATAAATACAGTACTAAAAGAAATTGATGCATCCGTTAATTATTATTCGAGAACTATTGTTCAGGCATTCTGAATGTCTCATGGTTTTAGTAAATAAATAATAAATAGTTACATTTACTGAAAATTTAGAAATAATATTATGAAAAGATACGCACATGTTTTTTTCTTTTAATGTTAATCAACTACCAAAACATTTACATAACTATTATATTTAACTGGTAAAAAAGAAAATGAAATTTTACTTGTTATTTCTGTTTTATGCGTTATTTACTGCAGTCGAACGTGCAATAACGGTTACGTTCAAACGATGACCATATTTTATGTTTTTGTTAGAAGTCGTTCTTCAGATTTCATTGTAATACGGGAAGAACAATGGGGTTGATCTATTTATGACCAGGCTATATGATAATGGTGACGAATAGATTCATTACTCATCTGTGTACTTTTCACTCGTATGATATGGTTCTTCTCGTTTGTGTTTAGGCGTTCTTCGCAACGTTAATCACAGGTGCTGCAGATGCACCCAACCACCTCGAGTAGTTCTGCTCGTGTGCAACTCGAACCCGTTCTTCGTATTTAACTTTATGTGACTTTTTCCTTTGTGAATATGTATATAAATATAGTTTTATTATCCCACTGCACGTATTCCTCTTGGATCAACAAAAAGAATCGCTCGTTCTGTGAAGGTCATTACATCAAATTCGATTCGTTCTGCAATAATGTACTGTACTTCCAATTGAAACATGTAAGATATAAAATGCAGTAAATATATTCGTTATTTCAAACCTGATCCTGCTTTTATGAGTATCCTGTACGATATTAATCAGTAGTTAAATATTTAAATGCACGAAGCTCTTTAATAATGGTAAGTCGTTAATAGCATAAGAATAGACTTGTATATTAAAATTTCAGTATAAAATGAGGCACATCAATCATGAATATTTCTTACTGACTATTTAAAACTTATAATCTATATATACCTATTGTCATTACATAATTACTAGCACAAGTATTTTGTTGGTTCTACTTGTTAATTATCTTTTTTTTTTCTTTTAGTTACTGAAGGAAGAAATGTACAAAAAAGAGATGTGTATGCAATGGCTATCGGTGCATTAACTTTACTTGGTAACGTTTTATTCACGATTGCAAAAAGTATCCTTCATAAATTCTAACAACAATGTAAAAGATGATGAATATGAAACAGAGTTAATAAATTTTCATTTAATAACGTACAATTAATTTTCCATAAACTGACTTTTTTATTTAAATTCCTTCGCACAGTTTTATTAACGCTAGAATATTATCTAAGTATACTTTTCTTTTAAAAAAATACACTTTTAAAAAATTACAATCGATCGAAATTATGAATTTTCAATTTAAAAAAGTCTAGCAATGAGTTATATAATTTAAATTATACGTGGCGTCATCAGTTACGAAATTTTAGTAGTAATGCTTATTATATTATTGAGTATTATAAAATCTGAAAAAGAATTACTTTGAGGGTAGAGATGATTTTAATAAAAAGATGTAATTACGAATAAATTTGTCGTTAAGTACAACCCACATCGAGATATGACATATGACCTCTTCTATCTCAGCATCTTTTAACATTTAACTAACATACATTTAGTTTGTGTATAAGGGGCATTTAATACTATAAATGCCCCGTATACACTAACTACTTTGCCAAAATTTGTTTTTTAGTCATTACTCATCCTGATATTAAGCGAAATTGTTAGTTTATGTTCATTTCAACCTGTTTCATGAACATGAACATTATGAACATGTTTATGAACATGAACATTAGTTCATGTTCNGAATACTAAATTAACATCTGAAGTATAATTTTTTATTGTTTTTATATTTTTCAATATATTTATTTTGTTTGTACAAAATAAAAAATAATTTTTAACGATACAATAGTCTTCGTTAGGCTTAACATCGACGAAAATTTAACGCGAAGCGACACGCAACGGAGAAAAATGTCAAGATGAAATAAATTAATAAATTTTTTCGTACATAATCGGTTATCCGAAACATCGATCTACCGAACAACCCCAGTCCCCAATTGATTCGAATAATCGACGCTCTACTGTATTTATATTTCAGCATAGACTCGACTAAAGAAAAATTACATTTCCTGATACACTGTCTTAATTTGAAAATACCTTGTTACAGCATTAAGAACTAATGACATCATATCATTGTAACTTCCACTCTGCTTATTACAGTCTGCATCCCTTCAAACGTTGTTTATTTTTAAAAAATAAGTTTGTATAAGTAATGAGTTTGAGGTGGCACTGTTACGTCTTTCAAAGTCAAATAATTCTCTGAGTAAAAAGGATGAAAGGAAACGAAGAAATTATTGAAAGTACCAACGATAGGATTGATAATACACAATATAATGAAACTAATACTTTTATATAGCTATAAAAATATCCATTAACGAGTTGCTTAACTTTTAAATTTTAACAAACCATTTCACCAAGTTCGGCTCTCACACTATTAATTTAAATAATAACTGAAAGTCATCGCTAGAGACGAATCCTAGTTATCGTTCTAGGCATTCCGTGACAGTTGACAGTATCCGTATAACCCTCCGAAGAAATTGAAATGTGACCTAAAAATTGTTGATAGAGGTTCCACTTTTCTTATCTTGTAATATACAGTAGACCCCCTTATAACACTAGATAATTCTGTGTTATATGAATTCCGTGCTGTACGAGTCATTCAGATTTTACAAATACGTGTGCCGGGCTGTGAACGGCTCACGTATTTGTAAAATCTAAGTGACTCGTACAACATGGAATTCATATAACACGGAATTATCTACAGTGTTATAGGGGGATCTACTGTAATCTATATCTAAACTATATCTTGTTATATAATACCATAATGCAAATCTGTACAAGTAAATATAGTTGAGTAAACAGAAATTTTTATGAAAGAAGTGACAATACTCTTTTGTTTTCTGCTTATGCAGTATTTTCTGTTAGTATGGAAAACAACCATAACAACACAAAGTGTTGAAATGCTGAATATGCGAGAATTTTTTATTTATGTCGATAATTTTGATAGATTTACGATATTTTCTTTGTTCTTTTCGAAAATATCGCGTCAAAAACAAATACAGAAAAGTATATATAATAGAAATGAATCTGATCTTAAAACTTATGCACGATATATTGATCCAAAGATGAAGTTATCGGCCATTTTCTGCTGGTAAGAAGACAAAAATTATAATTTCCTTTACTTGTTTTTTCATAAATTCTAGCTAATTCTAAGCAATTATGCAAGACTGATGCTGTTTTATAAAAGTAAAACTTGTCTCAAATATTGTTAAAACTTCTAATATTTTTTAATGACTGATAAAAAAATCTTTAATGTTTTCTTTCAGTATAATACTCCTTCTACCCCTGTGTTTCTGTAGGCCCAACGAAGCGAATCTAAAAGCTATTGCAGCAAGTAGTGACACTGGATTAATTACAGGTAATATGTTATTCATATTAATATAAATACTAAAAAAATTGATGCATCCGTTAATTAATATTCGAGAACTATTGTTCAGACATTCTGAATGTCTCATGGTTTTAGTAAATAAATAATAAATAGTTACATTTACTGAAAATTTAGAAGTAATATTATGAAAAGATACGCACATGTTTTTTTCTTTTAATGTTAATCAACTAGCAAAACATTTACATAACTATTATATTTAACTGGTAGAAAAGAAAATAAAATTTTACTTGTTATTTCTGTTTTATGTGTTATTTATTGCAGTCGAACGTGCAAATAACAGTTACATTCAAACGATGGCCATATTTTATGTTTTTGTCAGAAGTCGTTCTTCAGATTTCATTGTAATGCAAGTAGAACAATGAGGTTGATTTATTTATGACCAGGCTATATGATAATGGTGACGAATAGATTCATTACTCATCTGTGTACTTTTCACTCGTATGATATGGTTCATCTCGTTTGTGTTTAGGCGTTCTTCGCAACGTTAATCACAGGTGCTGCAGATGCACCCAACCACCTCGAGTAGTTCTGCTCGTGTGCAACTCGAACCCGTTCCTCGTATTTAACTTTATGTGACTTCTTCCTTTGTGAATATGTATATAAATATAGTTTTATTATCCCACTGCACGTATTCCTCTTGGATCAACAAAAAGAATCGCTTGTTCTGTGAAGGTCATTACATCAAATTCGATTCGTTCTGCAATAATGTACTGTACTTCCAATTGAAACATGTAAGATATAAAATGCAGTAAATATATTCGTTATTTCAAACCTGATCCTGCTTTTATGAGTATCCTGTACGATATTAATCAGTAGTTAAATATTTAAATGCACGAAGCTCTTTAATAATGGTAAGTCGTTAATAGCATAAGAATAGACTTGTATATTAAAATTTCAGTATAAAATGAGGCACATCAATCATGAATATTTCTTACTGACTATTTAAAACTTATAATCTATATATACCTATTGTCATTACATAATTACTAGCACAAGTATTTTGTTGGTTCTACTTGTTAATTATCTTTTTTTTTTCTTTTAGTTACTGAAGGAAGAAATGTACAAAAAAGAGATGTGTATGCAATGGCTATCGGTGCATTAACTTTACTTGGTAACGTTTTATTCACGATTGCAAAAAGTATCCTTCATAAATTCTAACAACAATGTAAAAGATGATGAATATGAAACAGAGTTAATAAATTTTCATTTAATAACGTACAATTAATTTTCCATAAACTGACTTTTTTATTTAAATTCCTTCGCACAGTTTTATTAACGCTAGAATATTATCTAAGTATACTTTTCTTTTAAAAAAATACACTTTTAAAAAATTACAATCGATCGAAATTATGAATTTTCAATTTAAAAAAGTCTAGCAATGAGTTATATAATTTAAATTATACGTGGCGTCATCAGTTACGAAATTTTAGTAGTAATGCTTATTATATTATTGAGTATTATAAAATCTGAAAAAGAATTACTTTGAGGGTAGAGATGATTTTAATAAAAAGATGTAATTACGAATAAATTTGTCGTTAAGTACAACCCACATCGAGATATGACATATGACCTCTTCTATCTCAGCATCTTTTAACATTTAACTAACATACATTTAGTTTGTGTATAAGGGGCATTTAATACTATAAATGCCCCGTATACACTAACTACTTTGCCAAAATTTGTTTTTTAGTCATTACTCATCCTGATATTAAGCGAAATTGTTAGTTTATGTTCATTTCAACCTGTTTCATGAACATGAACATTATGAACATGTTTATGAACATGAACATTAGTTCATGTTCAGTTCATGTTCAAAATTAAGTTCATGTTCATGAAATTATTAGTTCATAAAGAGGTTGCGGCCGACGTTTTCAACACGAAAACGTGTACGTCGGACGTTCAGCGCCACATTCCTGTAAGCCTAGAAGTTTGACAATGGCGTTTGGAACGTCGAGCATGATTCCACTGACGTTCCAAACGCCATTTTCAAACGTCTAAGCTTACATGAACGCGGCGCTGAACGTCCGACGTACACGTTTTCGCAGTGAAAACGTCGGCCGCAATTTGTCTATTTATTTTGTTTCATAATTTGCATATAAGAAAGTAATATTCTTATGTACTTCTGTGTTTCGTTGTCAGATCGATCCTGTTTCTAAATAAATAATACAACTGCAAAATAGTTTCATTTGTTATTTTATCATAGTCTGTCTATGAAAAGAATCAACTTGGTATTAACCAATGAGCAACCGCAATTGATCGCTTAATTGTGGCAAGTTACTTCGACTCTGTTTCTTCCTCATTTGTTATACACGTCACCGCCATTATAAACAGTGTTATGGAAGCATGACGTTCCGGTATTAGAATACGCGGAAGTTGCCTGTAGCGGATGTTTAATGCATGATTGTATACAGTTATTGCATGCTATAGAAATTAACACAATTTTAACGGATAAGTTGCTCTGCCGTCTAGTGAGAGAAAATAAAATAAAATTTACATATTGAATGATATATTAAGCGAAAAGTGCTGACGTCGTTAGAGAATGTGGTGATTGGTTAAACTCAAGCGACATCACGAGTGACGTTGCTCTCAAGTCGATTTTTTCCGTAGACAGACTATTTGAAAAAATTACAAATTCAAAACAAATATTTGGCTTTTTTATTGTTAGATTTGGAAAAGTATGAAAACATAAGAAATAGAAATAAAAATAATATAAATACAATATACAAAACACATGGCTGATCATCTGTAAAAAAATTTTATGTAAATTCAGTTATACGAGTCTTTGCATAAGCGGCATTTGAGAAAATCTACCGCACGGCCCTGTATCTAGTACTTGCTCATATTCTAAAACGAAGGTTCCCAAAGTTTTCAAAAGATGGACCACACTATATATTCTGCAAATGCCAAAATCATGTATTTCTCGCTCTTATTTAGAGACTGCATATTTTTGTAGGTGATCCTACTGTTGATATTGACTCACTCGTGTCTAGAATAGAAATTTGCCTCAAATCATTGTATTGATAGAATTCCCGAGAATTTCCTATAAATTAGTATTTTTCAGGAAAATTCAGTTAAAAACGTCTTCTATTTTCTTCACTAAAATTGGTCTAATATGTCACAAAACGATGAGAACCGCTTTTTTTTCTATAATAAAAGCTTTAATTTATCATGTATTTTAGAACTATGTTGTGAGGATTGGGTATGAATAATCTACCACTCTCCTGTATTTTATACTATATTCTATTCAATTTTGCATGTTATTTGAAACTTAATGGCAGAGGCTCTTTTAGATTTCAATTATAAACTCACACTAAATTTTTTGGGCAGTAACAAAGTCTGTTAACTAAGCACATTGCAAGAATGGTCAGTGCCACAATAGGAAAATTATTTTGGGCGAGAGTGAAACCATATTCGGAATGGACAACAATCAGAAGTGTACTCAATACTAACTGCTAATAATATTAATTAATAATGTGAAATTTTTATTATAAAAATCTATATTTTATGCAGTATTTTAGAAATTTAATTTAAAAAATTAATTATTTTTTCAACGTATAAGATAATAAATCAGACATTTTTCTATCATTTCATGTTTATTATGATTTGCAGTTTTAAAAATGTCATCGTACAATTTGGTTTACTTACCAACAAACTATTTATTAATTAAATACAATACCAGTTGACCTCCCTATAACACTGTTAATAATTCCGTATTATATGAATTCCANTAAGTTTAAATACAGTCGACCCCCTATAACACTGTTGATAATTCCGTTTTATATGAATTCCATGTTGTACGAGTCACTTAGATTTTACAAATCCGTGAGCCGTTCACAGCCCGGCACACGTATTTGTAAAATCTAAGTGACTCGTACAACATGGAATTCATATATAACGGAATTATCTACAGTGTTATAGGGGGGTCTACTGTAGAGGAAATTTCTAATGTTAAACCGATAAGTGAATTCTAATACACAAGTATATGTATTTATATTTCTTTTTTGATCAATGCGAAGAATTACTCTCTGGTCTTGGTGATCACAGAGCAAACTTATTAGAAATTGAACCGAATTAATTGCTAAGGTTTAAATGGCCAAACGATTTTACATTAAAAATTGTATTTATTCTGTTTCATTATCTTTCTCATTTCGATTGCTGTAAACAATTTCAACACATAAGTGACAACAGTTTTGTGCTTATTAGCAGTAATTTTTGCGATGTGGAAACCAGCCTGACAAATAAAAGTCTTGATTGCTGTAAATGCATGAATTGCAAAATAATGTTATATATGTATTGTTTGATAGATTTATGGTGTTTTATTTTTTATTTTGAAAAATAATACATCAAAAAAAACTAACGCAAAGTATATAAAGCTGAAGTTAATAACAGGAAACGAAGTACATAGATCCAATATGAAGATTTCGGCCATTTTCTGTTGGTAAGTGATAAGCAAAATTTAGTGAATAGTGAATTTACAAAATTGAATTAATTTTCACGAATTTCGTTTTATTTTTTAACACATATTGTAGCTAATTCTAAATTAACGTGCTTGAATAATGCTCTCTTAAAAATCTAGATGTTCAAAAATCGTCTTGGATGATTATAACATTGCAGCTTCTAAACCTAAAATGATATTTCGAATAAAAGATACAACAAATCTGAATATATTAATAAAAATGTATGACTGTTGAAAGACTTTATACAAGTCGACCCCCCCATAACACTGTTGATTTTTCCGTTTTATATGAATTCCATGTTGTACGAGTCACTTAGATTTTACAAATACGTGAGCCGATCACAGCCTGGCACACGTATTTGTACAACATGGAATTCATATAAAACGGAATTATCAACAGTGTTATAGGGGGGGTCGACTGTACATTCATTTCTGAAGTATGCCATTTCAATTAGAATGATGCAACTCTGCGTGAAGTTCGATATTGCAAATTCGAATCTTTGATTGCCAATTTATACATGACACGTAAAATATACGCCGACAGACATGGCAACAGAACTGAATGAAGTAACTTCAGGTAATTAACTGAAGATTTTTAAACTTATTCGGAAAGTAGTTTAAAAATTCTTTAATCCCTATCTGTATTTATATTAATATATGAAGCGAGAATGTTTGTTTGTTTGTTAGAGATAATCTCGGAATTTACCAAACTGATATTTAAAATTCTTTTTGCTATTAGAACGTCTTCTCCATCCGGTTGAACATAGGCTATATAATTTTCATATAGAAAAAGGAAAATGCACGACTTCGTGGGCTATTTTAAACTTATTGTTTTATTTATTCGGTTTCAGTGTTGATTCCTGCTACCAGAGTTATGTACAGGCTTTGTTTATATTGTTTTGGTTGTTCATTTCTAATTACAATACTCTTATTTTATCAAATATTTACAAGCATAAAAGGCAAATTAACTTCTGGTAAGTTCTGTGATGTGCAGAACTTAAGGAAAGTAAATTTGTAATCTAAAATTTCCTGATATGGCCCAAATTTAATATCGATATTCTTACTACAGTAATGAGTTTTAAAAAGATTAGTCTGGCTCTTATATTGTGAGGGTCCAAGGCATTTGCTCTTTTTTGCCCATAGGGTAACGTGCTACCAACATAAGCTATCTTAAAACTCGTACCTCTCATTTCATCCTAATGATTACTTGATCACTAAAAGCTACCAAACCCATTGATCGATCTGGACAAAATTCGGCGTAGTTAATCTCTGATAAGATATGGAGAAACATTCGGATCTTTTATTTACTGTCTCTTATTGTATCCCTCAGCCGCAAACTCCTTAACCTTTTGATCAATCTGCACAAATTTCGAATAGTTATTCTAGACAATACTCAAAATCATATACGTAACTTTAAAACTCGACCCTTCACTCCTTCCACTGGTTTCATTCCCCGCAAATTGTTAAACCCGTTCACTGATTTGCACTAAATTTTGCATATCTTATCCTGTCACCGTTTTAAAAATATTAAAATTACATGAAGTAAACTATATTTTTATATTTATTTTTTTTTTAAATTGTAAGACAAGTGTGAATCATATTTTATAGTTGGGAAATAGGAGATTTGTATTTGTAAAATTTCATTATACACATGGATGCATCGATGACGAGCATTACTGGTTCAAGGAGTTATAGTCCATTTGCGTTTATATATTAACATTATATCATTTCTAATAGTTTTAATGTGCTTTTTCTTATTTTTAA